TCCGCAATAAACTACCTTTCGACACCTTCCACAACGCTTATTATTTTCATTCACTTTCCCACAATACGCGCAAACAATCAACGCAAGTAGTTCTTTTACTTTTTGCAACGTTGCATTTAAAATCTTCTGTTCCCCAATACTAACGTGCGCCGCTGCCCATGCGTTACCTCCTTTTTGATAAGCACCAGACGCAATCTTTGCTTCAAGTTCCTCAAGAGGGCTAAATCCAGCCAACAAATTATCACATGCTTCTTCCAAAGCTCTTAAAATCTCATCTTCATTACGAGCACTAATTATGTCTTTAGCTCCATTTCTTGCCGCCGCCGTGGAGATTTCCGAAGATGACAATCTTTGAATTCGTAGATATTGGAGCACGCCCAGTGGCAAGGGGTCACTAAGTTTAAGTGGGAAGGAGCAATTAACTTGTAAACCGACTGATTTAAGGAGGGCTACTTTTTGAGTATACAAGGGTGCTTGGGGGTGTGTGGTAAGGACTAGGTCATAAGAGTCATAGGGATTATCGAGAAGGATGAAACCATAGAGACGAAGGAGTCTGTTATTTGGAACTGGTCCATAGTTGATGAAGACCTTTTAAATAGTAAGGAATAGAGATAAAAAATATTGCTGGAAATGCTTTAAGCAGACGCATAGAAATGTAAAATCGTGTGTAACCTGTTCTCCTACTGCATAGTTTTTTCCTGCCAATATCTGTAGTCTATTCAACTGAGGATCATAAATATGACAAAGTTCAACATCAAGAGAGTGATTCAACATGTCAGCGAAGGGAGCAATACATCTGAATTGCTTGTCATTTAGCTTGAAATCCATGCCACGACTCCAAATAGTACAAAGAGCCCACATATACTGGAATATACGAGTGTATAAGAATAGTTAAATTCACTTCTTATATTGAATAAATAAAAGGTAATCTTGTAATAATAATAATAATAAAAGGCAAAAGAAAAAAAAAAACTCACATCATCTTGTGTAAATTTTTCCAAAGGGAATAGGTCTGGATACTTAGAGAACAAATTGGTGAGAAGTTGAAGGTAATCATCTCTAATCTGCTGTTTCAACTTTTTGGTCAGGTGATAAAGCGAAGAGCCAGAGCAAATTTCGAGCTCATCATCACTAAAGAATATACTAGCTGTATAACTGGTTGGTAACATTTCTACGTGTGCCCGTCTTCCATCATACCCCGTTTTACACGACTTGATGAAAAGAAGAAATATTGCCAGTATATCCTCTACTGACAATGGTGGTTCTACAGAGCGTATGACAGTTCCAATGACCGGGTCACTAATTGCCACGTCTGCTGTCCAAAGGAAGGATCCCGGCACCGTAAGGACTACATCGTGAGACTTAAGGGGCCGCAGCGTTTTGACACCACGTCCTGTATCAGGGAAGTCTTCTAGTTGTAGCCAACTGAGGTCTTCAACCCCACCACCTATAAGCCATTCCTGTAGCTTCATGGTTGGTATAACAGATGTCTTGACAAGGCATAGTTATCTTACTTTTAAAAAAAATGAGATTAAGCATAGTTATTAGAATATCGATATCTGGATATTATAGCAATAATATTAATACGTATGAGATACCATCGAATGCCAGAATCCTGAATAACTTTATTCTATTGGATTGGCCAAAACTTGTGAATGAAGTCACGAGGCAGCTCTTTATAACGTTAAAGTTTCAAAATTGATAGGTCAACGGTTACATTTTTGATAGATCTACGATGTACTCAAAATTTGAGTTACGTTCTTGACGCATTTTTAGTGAAATAATTTTGAACTTTGAGCGAAGATATCTCAACAACTACTCGACCAAATTCGATGATTTTTTTTGTTTTAATTCTATGGATATATGAATTCAAATAAAAAAATTTCATCGGGCGGTTGTTGAGATATCTTCGTTCAAAGTTAGTAACAAAAGTGCGCAAATTTTTTCTCGGAAACTACTCGACCAAATTCGATAAAATTTTTTTTGTTTTAAT